CCTGTCTGCCCTACAATAATCACCTTTCTGTCTGTTTACTCCACGTATTATATTTTCCATCACTGCCAGCAAAGTTTATAACCGACATGCTCAGCGTACGCCCACGTTTCTGTGCATACCCCTGAGGATATTCTATTGATTATATGGATTTCTAACCTCTAAACCCATAACCTTAAAGATGCAATGCGTGACATCTAGTCCTTTTCACTAGTATACTCTTGTCTATATATTTCCACATTGCTCATAAGCAGTGAAGTAGCAAAAAAGATATTGCTACTATGCTTTAGTGGGAAGACAACCTGCTTTATGTCATAGATCTGTTGAGCAAATCTGAAGGAGTGTTGACATTATTATTAGATATTTTATTACCTTCATAAAGTTGCTTTACATACAAAAAAAAAAAATCAAGAATACTCCTCTGTAGGTTTTATGTAAAAGTGACTCAGGCACATAAAACTAACGTAAATTGTAAAGGTGAGTGTTTGGAAAGGGCTTCAACATTGCAAACCATGACTACACAGAGGACTTTGCTCCTGTCTCGCTAAGCTTCATGCTTCAGTTCTGAAAAAACTAATAAAATAATCCAAGAGACAAATGTGGAGGGAACAACATCACATTTCAGCTAAACCTCAAAGGGAAGCTATAACAAAAGACAAAAAATCAGTTAAAGGCTGCTTCCATCATTAAAGAACTGTCTTAGATTTGATACACTCACAGCACCAGATACATATTTCTCAATTTCCTTGCTCGTGAAAAATCTGATTAAAACGTGTCTTCTTTGTAAGACAGACCCTAGATTATATCTATAATTGCACACATTCACACCTGCCCAGTGTAAGAGTAGTTTTGTGCTGCTTACCATTCAGAAACTCCTCTAGAAGTGTCAGAGGTTAATCGCCATGTTAAAGGCCACCCACACAAAGGTTTTTAAAAGAGAAGAGTGAAAAAGTCGGCCTGAGGTTTTGAACTCACAGCTCGCCGCCTACAAGCATGCATCCCCGGTCTTATACTCTTTCAAGAATTCAAAACAGTCGTGCCTGATAAATTCTGTCAGACGTTACAGGCTGCAACACTGGATATGCCACTTTCAGGAAAAATATTCAGAGGATGTATTTAATTACTAAATCACCTTGGTCTGGTTGCCAGGCAACATTAGTACAAGAACTACTGCTTCCATTTCCTTTCAGCATCTTGAGTGATTTGTCTTGTGTTATTTATGTACATTAGTCAGAGAGAAAAGAAGGGAGGAAATAAACAAAAACGTGTTAGAGTGGCTTTACAGTGGGGCAGTCTAAATGGTAAAGACACAAACACTGTTCCGCTGCAATGGCCACGGCCACCCACATAACCGCACACACAGACTCACTTTGACTTGAGATTTTCAATTTTGTTTGTTGTTTTTCTGCTTCTCGTGCTTTTTAATTACATTCACTGCATCCTTGGTTTCCCTGTTGAGCACTTTGTGATGTTCTGCAAAACGTTCCTCTTGAATAAATTCGACATCTCAAACACAGACATTCTGTATACTGCGTGTGATGGAGTGTACACACAAGCTGTTTTATGGCAAATACTGTTGTTTGGAGACGAAAAGAGTGAAATCTGTTTCCTACCATTAAACCTGTTGTCCAGCTGTGAGCAAGTGCATGCCCATACTGAAGCATGCCTTTATAATCATTTATGTTCCTGTTCTTGCAGGTATTCAGAGGTGTGTGTCTCAGCATGTACACACCAGCTACTGCGTTCATGTAATGCGTAGGTGGCTCTGGGGATATGTGTGTGCGACCAAATGATCGAGGAGGAGACAGGCACACTCCATCATCCTCAGCGTCATCTGTCATCGCAGGATGGCCGACAAATACACACATATGGATGTTGGTCCGAATGTTAGCGAGCATGCCGCGCTGCATGTTTTGCTCTAAGCAGTGGTGTCGTGGTGTTTTTGTTGTTCCCTGAGCCAGACTCCGCTGCATATTCTTCGCACTTGAAGTGGTAAATGAGTGAATTGTTGTTATCCTAGACACATGGGAAGTTGTCTTTTCTTTCAAATTTGGAATAACTGTATTTGCCAAGAAGCAATAAATGCCCTGGGGTTTATCCATCTAGCAGGCCGCCTTCCACGTGGTCTTGAGACTAAGACTTCTGACAGTTTGGATGTATTTTGTGTTTATTTTATTTAATTTTTTTCCACTCTGGTTTGTCTCAAGCCTTCTTACAACCTTTGTTGTAAGAACCATTGTTCGAGATCTTAGTGATGATTCCTCAAAATGATCAATGTTGAAGGATTCAAAAAAGATAAATCTACATGTATCTAGGTAAAAATGTAAATTCTGTCACATCATTTCTTCACCTATTTCAACTTTAAATATGAGTTTTTGCCCACACCTGACTGAAATGTTTGAGTTTACTGGGGGCAGATGAAAGTGGTCTGGACCAAACTCAAAGACATCTGTTACTCATAGTCCATCAGTCACATCTAGTGTTTCCTTAATTCCAACAGATTTCCTTGGTGAGCATTGTCCAGTTTAGGAGAAACACGACAGAGTGTTGGCGCTGACAGTAAATGAACAACAAATAAAAAAATCTTTCCTAGTAAAACTTTTCCACTGCACTGTTGAGTACTAACCTTTAACATTCTCCAGCCTCACCTTATATTATTTTGTGTTCTTGGGTGATCTTATATTTAGACTAGGTGTTCGTTCTTTTGGCTTTAAACTCTTTACTTGACTCCAGGAGAGCCCTGCACAAGAATTCCTAAATGCCTAGAGCCTAGACTGTGTCTTTATGCATAAATGGCAAATAAAACTCTTGAATCCTAGTCAGCTGGCATAATATAAAACTAACTGCAAGCACCTTAAAGGAACAGTTACATTATGGGAACTACAGTATGAAGTTTATTCCCTTTCTTGCTAAGAGCCGATGTCTGTATAGTAAATATGATGCTACCGCCAGCAACACGTTCATTTAGCACATCAATGTTATGCCTTAATTACTGAGCTTTAGAGGTGCTGCTATGCTTTTGTCTCTGCTTACACAAATGTGGTTGTTGTGTTGAGTTCTTCATACTACAGTGCACAACAACATCCTTACACTTCCACAATCACTTTTGTCTTTGTCTGTGAAAATGATGGCACACAAGGTCAGATACATTATACAGTACAATTCCCATTGACAGCTGGGCATACAGTTCAGTTAGAGAAAAGCTTATAGCCAAGCTGAAGATTCTCTAACAGCATAATTATTGGTGAAGGGGACAAATGTCAAAGCCCTCATTAAGTCCCTCTGGTGCCAGTGTGTCCACTGTATAAACCCAAATGGTCTCCATCCTAAGTAGGAGGGCACTGATGTCATAGCCTTTATGGGAGCACTTAACCTATTCATTGCCATAAACCCGACTGAGGCTAATAACTGTAAAGAACATTTCCAGAGGCAGTCATGAGAAAACTAGATACAAGATACACACAAGAAAGCTGCAGTTGTACACCTATCGCTGATAAATGAGCTCAGCAGTTTGCCTCCGGCTTTTGATCTCATACACAAACTTAAGTCTTGGGGCTAAATCTGCCCAACACTTGTTGAATTCCTCTTTCCCCCCAAAGTGCTTTGAAGACCTGGTTGTCCAAACCACAGCAGAAGTGATCAGAAAACAGAGAGCAACCTTCACTGCATGTCAGAAATGGATCACTGTGATTTTTGGGAAGCTATGTTCACAGACTTCCAACACAACTCCCAACCTAAGAATAAACTAGGTACAAAGCACGACAGCTTAAAAATATGAAATGCCAGGGGTCTAAATGAATACATCATTTGGATATAAACAGATAATGTGCCTTGTACATTGTTTCTGCAGTAATATTTTGCCCCCACTGATACCTAATCAGTGCAGGATAAAGCTATGTTTTCTACTTTATTAAGACATAAATATGTGTGTTATAAAACTTGGAAACTTATGCTAATGGTTGAAAAATGTCATGCAGTTTGGCGTTTGACTTTTCAGCACTCACACTCAGCAAAATAACCTGGCTTGCTGGTTTAGTTGCACTACAGGAAGGTTTCTCAGCTCTGCTGTTCCTCTCTGCACTGTCACTATGTGTGTACGTCTTGCGGTGTACAAAGGTGTCCTTAAGTAAGCCAGTGAACAAAGGGAGGCTTTCTTCGCTTGCTTGAAAAACATATTATGTAAAAATATACTGCTGTGTTTTCCTTTTCAGCATCACATCAGGTGTGGACTGTTAGTTGATCTCACTACTAGGGCTGAACCTGAATATCCGACTATTCCCATATTTGTTTGTCAGGTAGGTAATCGATTTTCAATTGTAGTTTTCAAATATTTGATCATCGCTGTTTCTGATTACAATGACAACCAGCGGGGTCATACCCTGTTAGTCGCTAACTAACGTTAACTCCGTTCCTTAAACTGATGACAGGACAAAATGAAAGTGGCTGTTGTCAGGTTTGTGACCTCGATGCAGCCGGTGGACACACAGACAACATGCTATCTACTGTTAGCCGATGATCATTTATGAAGTCAGAACTGCCAGATGAGCAAAGAGGAACTTTTAGCTGCAGCACAATGTCAGCTCATTAACCACACCCCCCACCCCCATGGCGAATATTAGCACCAAATATCCAGAGCCCAATTCAGGACAGCTCTACTAACCACTTTAGTTAGATCTGAAATAACTATCCAATAACAACTATTGGATGACACTCATGGTGCCCAGAGAGGGAGTCCAACTGCCTTTGGTGACTTTCCAATCTACTGGAGAAACGGGCACAGAATTTAGAACAAACATTCAGAGGTAGGCCAAATTTTAACTTGTCTGTTGTCAGTTTCTGTGTCTGTGCTCAGTCAAAGATAATTTGTGTGAAAGGAACCTCCAGTCTGTAACATCTCTGAACAACCATGAGTGGACTCAGTATTTATTTACTTCCAAAAACTCCAACAAAGCATTTTAGCAATGTCAATGTGAGCGTGTTTACATGCTGATATTAGCATTTACCTCAAAGCATTGTGCTGGTGAGTACAGTCTCACAGAGCAGCTAGCTGTAGACTCTTGTTCCTTTGTCAGCAGTCTCACGGTCAGAGGGAAGATTAACCATCTTGATCTGAAGAGATCATACAAAATGTTAGAAACTGCTATAATCAACAGGTACACACATTAAGAATCATATACAGAGCATTTATTTATTATGCAGTACTGTACAATGTCTAATGTGCCCAAGCATGACGTCAGTATAGGGATTGTTTCTGCCTGTCACTTTTAAGAAGACAGTTTTCACACAGTATTGGCATTTCAGGTTTCCCCCAGACATCAACAATAATAACTTTCTCACAATCAATGAGATTAAAGTCCTTATATAACTTTCCCACAGGATGCCACGGATGACGCTTCCCATTCGTCAGGTCTCGCCTATATCACCTCCCTCAGGAGTCACCTGGTTAAACTCTAATATTAGTTCAAGTGCAATTTCTTTTTTATGTAACTTCAAACTTTTGAACAGCAAAAGGAATTCCTGCTTCAAATAGCTGGAAAAGAAATACACTGCATCTCAGTTTCTGATCCTGCTGATGGATTTGAGTTCACAGGTTGGGATTTGTAGAGGCTCAAATATATTGAATTTGCATCCAACAATACAGCTTGGGTAAATCAGCTTTTGCATGTCAATCAATATACTGTAGGTAGGTCTTGCACTTCCAGTTAGGAGAACAAGAAGGAAAGAGATGATGGTATAAAACTGAAAAAAGAAACTGAGTCAAGATCTCTGTTGTTCCATGTGTGAAACCAGGCTTTTAATTTCAGTATGTTTTGCTTGGTGGATTAAATATACTATTACAGAAACCCATTTTTAGCTGCTTATATCAAATTGCTGAAGGAGAAAGAGAGAAAATAGGGAAATAGCAAGCAAGCAAGCCCAGCAAGAGGAAGGGTGAGAGAGGAGAAATGTTTCATAAAGATGGAAAAAATTAATTCCTAGGGTTTATTCGACTCATATCACTACATTCTATCTGGGCTTGGGCTTCAGAAAAAAGCGGAAGGCGTGAGAGAAGGCAGACAAAGGACAAGGATAAAGATGGGATCAGATGGAGGTAAGGAGGGAAGGAGGAGGTCAGACAAGGAGCGGCTGAAATGGGGGAAGCTTATCGGCGTAAACACCTGGGCCGCCGTCTTCTCCCTCTTCTCATGTCTCCGAGATGAAAGTTCTTATAGGCCAATGGCTGTGCAGAGGTCAGCTATCCCGTCTCACCCGCACTCATCCATTGTACCAGGCATATTTGCTTTCAGGCTCAGTGCTGTTTTCTTCTTGTATCCAACCAAGCAGAAAATCAGATGCCTGCAAAGCAGATGTTATAATTTCATCGCTGTCTGGTTTTGAAAATGAAGGCACAGTTTAAAGAAATCACTCACAAACATAACATTCAATTTTGCTCTCATTACAGGACTGAGAAGTTCCCACTGACACCATAAAACTGTTTTTAGGAACTGCAAGAAAAATTGTGCATACTCAGGCATTGTTGATGTACTTAGATTTATAATGCATCATGTAGCTTGGTCCAAGGTCATGAAATGTTTTCAGCACTTGGAAAACAATCTCAGCTGCAAAATACTGTAAAAACTAGAAATACATAAGGTCACAAGTAAAGTAAGTCAGAAGTAAAGCTGTGAGAATGGCGACTGTCATATGACTTGGTTTCAGAATCAGTGCTCACTGCACTCCTAGAATTTCCTTCTCACTCATTAGATGAGCTGGGTATTGTTTTTGTTTTTTGTCCTATTGCCCCTTAGATACACATCTTTCTTCTTTTTATCACCAATCTGTTTGCACTGCATTGCTCACTTTTCCTTGCAAAGTCTTATAATACGGTACCAAGCAACATCTACAGCCTTCAGGGTAAGTAGAGCTGCAGAGACAAGAGTACAGCTAACTACAGATTTTTCCAAGTTCCTGAAATAAAAAATAATTGATTCAGAAGGTGTCATTCTGAGAATTAAAGATGAGAGGGGCGTTGAGATTCGTGTGCTGTTCAGGGTCTGGAGACAACTACAGTACCACTTTACTGTCAAACTCAGAAACATGGGAGTGTTTACAGGCACATCATCACATCCAAAGGCAGAACACTTCCTGTGCCCCCCCAGCTCACAGTCTGCAGCTTCCCATGAAGAAAGCAATGCTGATAGGGGGATGAGGGAAGGGAAGAAGGGATAGAGGGAACCGAGAGACAGAGAGATGGGTGTGGGCTTGAATTAAACACCCAATTTAGAGCATTTCATTTTTTGAAAAATAGCTCGCAGATGCATGTGGGATTGTTTTAGCTACTAATGAAGCAGAAATATTGAGTAAAATGATGAATGTTCCTACAAATGCTACCTGCACATGCAGTGCAACAGTCCCTGTCTTGTACCATGCCTTGCTACAGGGCATTATGACATTATGTTCCATTTGCTTCTCTGTTTTCAGCTTTGAAAATGTTGAAATTCTCCAATACTCTAACAACCAAATACTTGTAAAACTGCTGTACTTGGTGTTTAGTGCCCTTTACAGTAGTGAATGTTAACATGCCAGCATAGTCATTACCTTAACAGGTGCAAACCTAAATGTACAAGCTTACAAGACACAGAACTTTGTTTTCAAGCACACCATTTTGAATGGCGTAATATTCAATACCCCAAACTGGCCATGCTGAAGTTTTTTGTGAATTACTTCACTTGCTGATTGCTATTTGGATGTAATAGCTGGACAGAGAGAATGAGTACGTGGGTAAGGCAACTCAGAGACCAGGCAGGAGAGACAGGAGCTTCTAATTACTGATGACAATGACCAGTGTGAGCAATGATCAGACCATTTCCTGACCTTGACATTTATGGAGTGTAGCATGCACAGTGCACAGATCAGAGGTTTATTCAGCAGTGCAAAGCCAGTCATTGGTATTGCTGCGCTGAACTTCAGTCCACTGGCAGTCTGGTGATTTTATCAACAGTTCTTGCAGCTAAGAAATAGGGATGGCAATGATTTTCAAATATTCGAATAGTCATTCAATGTAAAAAAAAAAATTGAATATTGCATGTGAGAAGCTACAGCCTTCAAAAAGTTATGTTTGGAACTTCTTCAAGAACATAAACGAAAATGAGGTGACAAGTTAGCATATCATAAATCGACAAGACCTATGCACAGCCATTTGAGGGCAAGGCATCTGGCAGAGGGAAGTGGGGTGCGGTCTGCAGATCAATGGCTAGCCTTGTTAGCCAAAGAAGGAAGTTGATGATCGGCATGAAATGTTAGAGCCATCGGTGTGAGTTGGTGCCGCAGATGGCTGCCTCGCTTCTGTACCGGAAACAAATTCCTTGTGTGTAACATACTTGGCCAAATAAAGGTGATTATTAAAATGGCAGCAAAGGACATGCTACCCATTAGCTTTGACAAGGGGGGAGGGTTTTCTAAGTTTTATGGCATTTGTTCAGCCGGAGCATATGGTCCCATTAAGAAAAATGGTCACGGCACAACTGGATAAACTGTATGATGATAATGCATGTGGTCATATAGTTCCCAGCAAATAATGGATAGTATTTCAGCTTTAAATGACTGTCCCTAGGCAGAGTAATGCCGCTTTACACTGTATGAAAAATCCCATTAAAGCCCATTAAGTCCTTTAAATCCCAGCAACCATCTGAAATCAGCAGGACACATATGCTGATAAATCTGCTGCCTCTGATTGGTGAGTTCACCATGTTTACAGTTTGATGGCTTTTCAGGTAGCAAAACACTATTACACACTGATACAGGATTTAAAAAATAAACATCATTTTAATTTTCATCATGACTACTGCAACTTAAACAGCAGAAAGATGGCAATCTAGCACGAAAGGTCTGCTAGCACATTTTCATTTGTAGTGTCTTGCAAGAAACAACCCCACTGTGGTCCAGCAGAGGTTGAGTCAGCATTGGCCAACTGGCCTCATTCAAATTAATGAGGAGGTTGGGTTTTCAGTTTGAGCATGGGCTAAAAACATTAGGTGTGCTTTACAGAAAATTCATCTTTTCTCAACTTCTCCTCCAATTTTGTACTGCCCTAATCACACAGTTGTTATAGTTCAGATCAATAGAAATAAAAGCACCTCCACAGCAGTAGGCAGCTTTCATTTAAGTTTTTGTTACTCGATTACTAGAATTATAAAATGTGCCTTATCACCACTGCACTGAAACACTCAAGGGATGCTGGGCAATGGAAATTCGTTGTGTGATTGCTCATTTTCTACAATAAACAGAAATCATCCTCACAGGAAGGGTTGGGCATGTAGCCTCTATTGTATCTTACTAAAGAAAAGGCGTTCCATCTCAGTGGACCGACTGCTGTTTGATTTCATCACATAAAACCGACTTAGCGTGCTAGCCAGAGACTTCCCAATGACTGACCTATATTTTGCCCTTAAAAAGCAATTATAGGAGTTTGATTTAACTTGCTGATGAATTTCTCCACTTAATAGGCACCAAAAGGCCTGAAGGTGGTGTTGGTACCATCGCTATACAATGAAATGATAAAGAAAGAAAGAGAACTCATTGGAGATAAGAAGAGGATGAGGGGAGGAGAAACGATGGACCTGGACATACTGAACATTAATAGTTTATATCCTTAGCCTCCATTTGTCTCTCTCACCCCCTTTTTCTCAAATCTAATAAATGTCAGGGACATGTGAGCAAGGCAGAAGGAGAAAGGGGAAGGATGGGCAGAGGGGTATATGCATGTATGCCTCCTACTGCATTCCATCATTTCTGCATTTAGGTTTAAAGCCTAAGCCTTCTTACCAAGCTGAACTATTGAAATTACATTCTGGATAACAGGTACCTTATTTACAAGGTTGGTCTCTATGCGCATGAGGAAAAAATGTGCCTCTGCACTCTGAAAGGTGCAGGTTATCAAGCGAGGCGAGCATATTAATGTAACATCCCAAGAATAACGTGAGTCAGATCTGATTTCTACAGTATTCTGTAAATCATTCCATTACTTTGCAGTAGTTTGCTCAAAGGAAACAACAAGTGAAAAGAAAATATTGCCAGGTGCAGGTCAGACACATCACAGGTGTTTATACCAAGCACATTGTTACAGTACTGCCAGTATTTTGTTGCTTGATTTCAGATTCATATTTAGAAGAGCAAGAGGTGCTCTAGAAGAGCAACAATGTGTCATTTCTTTTTTCAAAAGTTACATAACCAAAAACAAAAAAGCATATGTTCTACTTTCAGTGCAAAGTAGCTGTACAAATTAATGGTAATAAAAAAAAATTACCTTCCCAAGTGAATGTTCAAAATAGCTTTTCTCACAGAACTACAATAGGGTGCTATTTTAATGAGTTTGATTTCCACAGAAAGCTAAAATCAGTTAAGGTCTGGTCCAAGCTGAAGGGGAAAACAAATATAAGAAGCTTCATTTACATAAAGACCAGGCCAGGTGAATAAATATATTGATCCCATTAGATGGTAAATATGTTAAGTCTTAGGCCTCATGGAAATCTTAATTAACATTAATCGCCCCAAAGGAAGGCCAGCAGGGGTCGTGGCGAGTAGCACTTCAATGTTTCCTTACTGCAGCATTGAGCCAGTGAAGCTCGCCTCCAAAACCCTTTACTTTGTGCATCAGGGCAGGATTTAAAACTGCTATAACTAAGTTGAGATGTTACATTTTATCCTTGACTAGCTTGTTTTAGGCCTATTCGGGAAAGGTGTTAATTAAATGAAAATGAAATACAGACAAGAAACGAAAAGAAAAACATCGAAGGCTGGCTTTGATTCCTTGCCAGGCGATCGAAAGGTTCAGAAGCAGACGCATCATGTAATGAATAAAACAAAGTCTCCTTCAGAAATTTTTGCCCATGCAAATATTTGCGTGTAGGTAGATGCACAAAATGCCTGCAAACAGTCGCCCACTATATACTGGCAGGACATGACTTGCAGCAGTTGTACTAATGTGAGCAATTAACATTATTAAAGCCTTAATTACTAAACAAACAGAGCTAGTACACTTTGGAAGAACAGAGTCTGCAACAGATTTTGTTTTCCTCTGGGTGTTAAATAACTTCATAAATAAACCCTGGCATCTGTCAGTCATCTGAAGAATCCTGAACCAGCTTTAAACTGTTATGACTTCCTGCTAATACCCAATTTAAAACTGCCAGCAGCATGACAACCAGGGGCAATGGGAGGTGCAGCGGAATGGATTGTAGCATGTGATGATGTGATACATTCTGTCGACCAGAGAAATGACACCGTTCACTCAAAGTTCTTTTTCTTTTGTAGCTATGACAGTAAGAGGATTTGGACAGAGGGTCTCAAAGTATTTTACTCTGATTTATCTGAAGATGTATTTTCCTTTAACTTACAGATTAAATGACAATTTAGCTTATGCTAATGATGAAATTGCAGTTCTTGTTGATTTTTGTGCCAGAGTTGAGCTCCATGGTGAGTTCAACAATGAAATAGACCTCTTTTTTGAGCAAAAGGTCAGGCAAACTGTTACTGCTTAAAACCCCAGCTCTGTCAGTGAAGAATGTCGAGATTGAGTTTGACGTCACATCTCACTTTGCTACAGCTCTTTGTTCTTTTTATTGCATCTCAACCAAAGACATCTCCATTTCTGAGACAAGATGGATGCTAAGTTGTTGCCCTGCTCATAAAACTTATGTTGCTTCTGGGAAAGGAAATTAAACCAAGGAATCGTGTTCATTAACACAAACAGGGAGACGAGCGGCTTGTAAAATAAATGCAGCTGATTAGACAGCAGAGAAAAACGAGAGGACAGAGACAGGACAAAGTGAAAGAGAAGGGGGGCGAAGCAGAGTGAAGACAACCATATCCAAACTGAGTCAGAGAAAGAAACAAAAATAGAGAGCGACAAATAAATGGCAAGAGAACTAATGCGGCATAAAAAGCCAATTTCCTAAACCTCTGAAACCCCCTCCTGGGTGGAAACAATTACAGCAGACTGGGAGACAGTTATGATTAAACAAGCAAATGCCTTGACAGAGGAGATAAACTTGAGAGAGGATGGGCTGACAGAGAGTCATGTTTGCTGCAGAATATGATAGCTAATTCGCCTGCAATAAGAGCAGCAACATGGTAAATGACAGTTCAGAGTCAGATCCACTGAAACACGACCCACACTCACAAACATACACACAGTTGAGGGGTGAGAGTCGTACAAGTCAAGGCTGAACTTTACATGACTTCGCTTTTTTATCATGGCTAAAACTGATCGCCAGTTTCTCAAAGACATAAAAATGATATTAATTATATTTATGTGAGTGCTATGACAGAACGGATGGAAGATCTTACACCAAACTAATTTCATGAATAGGACGAGTCTTCAAATTAAATTACAGTGGATAGTTTCAGAGGGTTGAGCCTTTGCATTATCTTCATCAGTCAGAAAATGGGACAGATATGACAAGAGTTTCAGAAATCATCAGCCGAATTAATGAATTAAAAGCATCTCAGTCCTTGTGAAACAGAGAGGGAAAACGGTCAACAACAAAGTGCCACGTCAAAATGACAGCAGGGGGCCACTCTGGCATCTGCTGAAAGCTGTGGATTGTCATTAAATAAATAATGTTTGGCAGGATTGCTTTACTCTTTGAAAGGCATGCTGTGAAACTGGCACGCCTCTCCACGGGAATCATAAGCAGATAATGCTTGCCACAAAACTGCACAAGGGTTTCAAATGGTGGCAATAAGTGGTGATGTTTTAGTGCTGCAAGTTCACATGACCAAGAATACTCTGTGCCACACCCCTGAGAGTTCACCCTGGTTTTTTACACCTTTGTCTTCACTGCAGTGAGTAATAATATACCTGTTTTCAATGTCTGAAGGTTTATGGACCACTAAGTCCACGTTCATTTTAGCTTTTTTTGTGTTTCACTGACTCCTGAGGGAAATAACTGGATGTTTGGCTGCTAGACTGTCCACTGGGTTCAACAGCTTGAAGCCAATTAATCTCTATGCACTGTGTAAGGGGGACAATTACTGTGAGTCAATAAACAGTGACAGTGTACTGCAAAACCAAACATGCCTTAAAAGGTTTTAAACTGCTCTGCATAGCTAAGAAGAAAAGCAAAGTCAGGTTAATATTCTCTGTGGGTTAGTCAGAATGACTGACCCCTTTCTCAGGACACAGTCATTTGGTCTGTTGTTAATATGAAAATATTAATTACAGCAGATTTAATTTGTTGGATCCAATTTTGAACAGATTTTTAAACTAATTTTAAAGTTACAAAGAAATCCTGAAAAGCCAGTATATCTTTAACGCTAACCACAAGCAGCCATAAATTAAAAAAAACGTGAACAATATGCAATTAAGAAACAAAGTACAGTCTCAGTTACCCTCGAAATTTATATTAAAACCTGGTGTGCATTCAAAAGAAGTCTTCAGTTTACCTCTAAAATGAAGATAAACTGAATTTGTCATGCAAGAAACTGTTGTCTGGTTCACAGCAGAGCGATGAGATCTATAATCCTGTCTTCTGTCAAAGCTGGGCTTGCTTTTCCTCTGGCCTTTTGTAGTTTCTTGCAGTCTACAGAGAGATTTTAGTCTCTGTCTTGGTCCTGTTCCAAATATTCCTCCAATGTAGCCTATTCACCCTCCTTGTTTACAGATAAAAAACTGACAAGATACGTAAGTGTGGAGGTTGGCCAAGAAGCAAGCAAATGCTGCCATTTCTCTTCTGCAACTGGCAGTTTATGAAGAACAACAAAGGGCACTGGGGGGCAGGATCACAGTCTTTGGCTCTGAACTCATCACTGCTCAAATCAAAAGATTCTGTGGCGGCGGCACACTGCCATCACTGAAATCTCTGTCCCATTCTCCTTACTGAACAGAGCTTTTCTTTCTGCCATGTCATTTGTCCCACAAGCACACCACCACTACCTTGCTCCCCTTATGACAGGCAGCTAGACTTCACATGGCCACCACAAACTGGGTCAGTAACAAACTGTAGAAGAGCGAGAGGAGAAAAAGGGGAGCGAGCTGCTCCTTTGCTGCTCTAGGTTTAAGATGTGAACACTAAGGTGTAAGTAAAGGGTTATCTATCATATAGCATTTGTTTTAATTATTGCTCCATCTCTTGCAGTGCGTGGGTGGACATATCATATATCAGGGCTAGACTGAAAATATGCTCTGTAGCTGCTGCAAACTAACAGTCATGCAAAGGGTCCATCTGCTGTCAATAATCGGCAGCAGCGCATTAAACAGAATTAGCATTTGGATGTTCTATGATAAAGTAACACTCTAAAGAGTGTAAGCTTAGTTCATGTACAGCAACCTACAGCACTTAAAGGGTCAGTACCCTCCTCAAGTGCATTTCACCAGAATTAATGGGCACCATGAATACAAGAACCAAGAGGTACAGTGCACTAACTGTAAAATAATATTTAGTTTATTTGATACAAACTTCTTTAAGTGATTTGCAACCAGGCGCTCTTGTAGCCCAGGGGTTACTTCTGCAGTTGCCACAAATTGTGACTTAATTAAAATATATCTCCAGATACTGAGTCAGATGTAATACCTCAGCACTACAGGTAGCTTACAATGAAAAAGCTTAGCAAGACAAGTATTTAGTATCAAGGATTACTGTTAAAAAATAGCAAAAAGTAATGGATAAATGGTACATGTACACTAGTTTTACCGCTTTCTCTGGTGTTAAGTAGCTTTCAAGGTTCACTTGTAGTGAGGACACTAATACTGAAGGTGAGTCGACATGTTGATTAGCTCCTCTCTTCTTTCATTTGGATTTTGGTAGCTGGACAGTCAGAGAACAGATGATGCCCTGGATCAATCCATCAACTTTCTGCTCTTTGCCTTGAAGCCAGTCTGACACTGCAAGTGTTCTGACACTAACCTTAAATAATTCCATTTCAGGACCTATTTAATTTTACCCTACTGGGTCTTTCTGGTCCTTCTCTATGCTGTTCAAAGCCAAAATCCAACTCTTTTCTGTGCTGCATTCATTCAGTTCCTGCCATGGCAAGTCACTGAGTGCACTGAGTGGATTATAACAGCTGAATTACTTCTGGTGCACCTGCACATCCCAATTGATCTCCATTTCAATTGAAAGCATTTATGCATTTTTATGCTTGAAAATAAAAAACAAAAAAGGTCAAAACCACATGAGAAGGCAGGGTTATGTTGTCCTAACAAATACGAAAGCCACCCACACAGTTTAATGAAGGTTCTGAGTCAAATTGCTGTCTAACACATCTGTAATTTTAAATGTGCAGATGAAGAGGTTGTGTGGGAGTCTTTTTCTGTTTACTGTTGTCTGCCTGCAATGCTCAGCTATCTGCAAAATAAAAAATAAAATAAAAATCCTTTCTGGGCGCATGAAACACTTCAACTTACACAGTCTGCTTCAGCTCAATGACTCTGCTGTGACTACTGTTGATGGAATTTACTTTAATGGAAGAAAAGGACTTTTGTTTATGAAAAGAACATGAATAGAGATTTTGATAGGAGATAAAGTAAAGATTGTTTTTAATCTCCTTTTACGAAGAGCTTGCATCAAGGCAACAATACCTTGTGTTTTCTTTCATCCAAAGACCAGTCTTCCATTAGCCTCTCGTGCTGGTGCCAGAAGTAAGGCAGGTGTTCGTCTGTGAATACAGGACTATGATGACATCCCTTCCCAGCTGTTGAAACTTCTCCATCCACACATTTTATCTAAAATGAAAGTCACACAATCTTGTTTATGAAATTTTAACTGCAAATGGATTTCAGGTCACTTCACCCACCCCCAGCTGTCTAAAGAAATAACATACACTCAAAATGTAACACGTAGCACATAGGATGTCACCTCAGTGTGATGAGCTGTCAACATGGGAGAGATTTTCTCTCAGTGTTACTGTTTTTACAAGTTTTTTTTTTAATGATTGCCAAATTATTTTGCCTCTATCCTCTTCCCATATACCCCACTGACTTCAAACATATCACACGGTGTTTGTTTTGATTTCACAGAAGAAGAAGTATGTGTTCCATTTGTCTTTGCTGTTTGCACCATCTCCGGTTGCAAAAAATACTAAAATTCGTTTTGCATAATAAACATTGGTTTTCAATAAAGTGTGATCTCATCATAGACACACTACTGCAATGCACTCTTT